GGAGAAAGTTTTTATTCAAATTTTGCATGTAAGAAATATTGTTCATTTATATAAAAAAAAAATTGCAATTCGTAAAATTAAAAGGAATACTAATAAAGTTTTTTTATATTCATTTTATGTTTCTAATGTATTGAAATATTTCATTTTTATTTTCAAGGAATGGAAACCAATTTACATTAAATTTTTTTAATTTTCAAAATTATTTTCATCTCTTTTTTCTTCTTCCCTTATAATTTTTTATTAAAATACATCAATTTTTAATTTTCACGAGTAACAAAATATTTTCAATGAAATTCTACAACGTTTTTCACTTCCGTATAATGTAATTACAAAATATTACATTTTTCAGTAATACGGTTTTTAATTAAATTCTGTATATTTTCTTCTCTTTCTCCCTTTTATTTTCGTAATATTAAACTTTCGTAATTACATAAATATATATTTTTAAATAATAAGAAATTTAATATATTTCATACGTAATTTCAACGTAAAAGTAAGTAAATATTAAAATAAGTGGTGAAATTTCATGCCTATTGTAATTTAAAATTAAATTAATTTTAAAAAAATTAAAAATAAAAAAATTTAGTAGCCGTTCCACATGTTTCTTCGACCTTTAAGGGTAATGGAATGAAACGGGACAGAGAAAGGGTAGCCGAGCAATGAAGGTGGATTGTATATGAATGAACCCGCTGACTTCCTGCGTTTAGGAAGGTCGTGCACCGTCGCTTTCATTTATCGACGAGAATCTCTATACTATATACAAGAACGAATAGGGGTGATGGACTCCGTAATATTTAAAAAAAAGACTTTTTAATTTTTTATCATATTTGAATTATGTATATATAAGTTGAAGAATATATACATACATAAAGAATTACTATCACTATAGCTATCATTTATTAAAAATGATTTCAGAAGTAAAAATTTCAAAAAATAGGATTCTTACGATAATTTATAGATTTATATTCAAAATTATTAATAGCGAAAAAAAGAAGTTGAATTTTAATATTAAAGTGGATCAATAAAAATGAATATATGCAAAATATATAGATAAAAAATTATCGAATAAAATTGATAAAAAATTTAAGTATAAATTAAAAGTAATTTTTTTTTGCATAACACAGGTAATATTTCGTTATTCTAATATTAATAATTAGAAAATATTTCACGCATTCAATGACTTATATTCAATATATTTGGCTTGAATTTTGATTAGAATTAAATTGTTTCGATATTTTAAATTTCACTTTATAAAACATTTAATCAAAATATAATTAAAGTATAATTCGAATAAGCTAAGCTTGTAATATAAAATAATTTGTTTTATGTATTTATAAAATAAAAATCTTACGATAAAAAATGACAAGAATTATGGGTACTCACCATTTGCTTCCTTTGTATTGAGATCGTATCCATTCACGAGCATTTGTCGCATTCGAAAATCTTCTTTACGATTGATAGATGCCTGGACTGCCGATTCCCCATTTTTATTAGTCCAGCGACCTTTTGACCCTCGTTGTTGTAAACTTGATGACCTTGAAGTAGTATTTGATGTATTTGTATTTTCCGTTCGGTTACCACCTAAAAAAAATGAATTGATTAAATCTTCCACATGTTTATTAAATTATTTATTAAATTGCTTAAATTGCTAATACATGTATATTGGTATTCATATAAAAAAATTCATAATATAGGTAAAAACATTAAATTTTTTATAGATATAATGTTAAATATAATATAAATATATGTGTTTATATTTGTCTATTGTATAGAAAAATATTGAATAATAATTTTTCAATATGTATATATAAATAATATAAAAATATAAATGTAAATTTTAAGTTATGTTGTATGAATATATACAATAGTATTAACGCCTCCTAGTATAAATCGTAGTTCCAAGTTACCGACAATCGGCACTATCAGATCAATTCTCTCATGGCGGGAATTCGAGCGCACATCAATTACTACATTTACATAACCCTTCTTTTTTCTTTGTCAAAGTTGGGTGGCGCTATTCGTAGTACAACCGCGGGGTCGGATTGAGTATAAAGTTATGTGGTTGGTAGACCTGAATGGAAAGTACAGGCGGGCAAAACTCGTTCCCGCGAAGTAACTAGCTTCGATTTTGCATTGTAGTTTATTTCCATAAAATGAATACATACAACAGAAAATTAAGTGTTTATCGGAAAGCATAAGTACTGCGTAGTTCGTGCGAGTGTTATTTGTTCGAATATAACAAAATAAATAAACACATAGTTCTATGACCAAATGAAAAATTTAGCTGTCAAATACATTTTTTATATAATGTGAAATTACATTATAGTGAATTTTATGATCAATATCATATATTTGTGCAAATATAAATAAATTAATTATTCAATATTTAAAATATTCATTATAAAAGCATGCGATATTGATTGATAAGATGATTGTTTGATCGTTGATTATATGTTGTAAAGAAGTCCATGAAATGTGCGTGAGTTTGTTCTAAATGGAATATTCGTTCTTTTTACCTGAAACTATTTCTTGAGAGGTCATTTGAAGAAGAAGCGCGAGCTGTTGTCGCTCGGACATCCGCGCTGGGTAACCGCGGAAACGACTGTTACCGCCTGCGGGCATTCCGTCTTCATAACTCATGTAACTCAGACCCAAAAACGCACGTGGAGGATCGCGGTGAGCACTTGAAAAAAAGGATGCCACTAGGGGATAGACGCGCGTCTTTGTTTCTGAACGCGCGGTGATTTGCCACGAGCAAAGATAACCTAAAATCGCACAGTCGGTTCACGCCATTTTGACCTACCGAGCGCGCACAGATACGTGAATCGACAGTCACGCGAAACGTACGCAACCACACGCGCCAAAACAGATTGCATCTGATGAACACTAAGAATTGTCGTTTGTGATTTATGCACTTTTGTTTCCCGGGCCGATAGTTTGATTTCACAACGCGGCATGTGTGTGCGTGCTCTTTCGAAAACGAGATTCGCGACACACGACTCGGAACACAGTGCGCAATATGACGCAACGTTTGTGTTGTATTTACAGTTGGTATCTCTGTCGGTAGCATGTAACGCGCCAATATTCAAATCAACATAATTAAATTTTCGGAATTTTACATAAAATCTTATTTTAATATAAAATTAAATTAATTAAAAATTTTAATAAAACTATTAATAAATCAAATTATCATTTTTAATGGAAATAAATTAAAAAAATATTGATAAATATATAGCAAAAAATACACTCATATAATTTTTGTATGTTTTTTTTAATAAAGAAGATGGATTTACATATCGTATCACGTATCATTCAATTTTAAACTTATAATGGAAATTTCCTGTATAACAGATAAAATTTTATGTACATTCATGAAATAAATAATCAATATAACTAAATCAAAATTATAGAAAATTTGGGTATTATAATTATCCACTATAGTAATTTCGATCTAATAATATAATAGGCCATGTAGAGCCATCACATACATATACATATATATTAACTTTTTTTCCACACTGTCCATTATAAATAGGACAATAAATTGAACTACACACACATTCTTATCGCGATCAATCACATATGCATTTATTCAATTCATACTATTTCGCATTTTATATTTATTATTAACACACACAACATTATAATTTAATTACGAATGATAAGAACACATTATTTAATTGTATCTAACGCAGTAGCTATTTACCGATAATATTATAGAAAATACATAATGACTTTCTTATCATCAGACCGATTTTACATACAAATTGTTACTTGTTAATTGACATTTCCAATACTGCGAATTGCACGCAACTTTTGCTGATAATTATAAAATTCAATATTTTCAATAAAAAAAAAAAATTAAAAAAAAACGATACAATTCACTTTATAGTATTCACTTTTTATTTTAAAGGGAAAGACCTGATTTATTTAATTATTTTATTAATTATTAAATTTATGAACAAGCGTTTCCATGTCATTCATACATTTGTTAATTATTTATCCTATAAATGTTTTAAAATATTAATTTTAAGACAATTAATTGTCATTTTATTATAGTTTATTAGTGTGAATAGAATATAAATAAAAAATTATTTATAATCTCGTATTATATATATTTGAGAAAAATAATAAAAAAAAATATAAATAATTTGATTTTTGTTAGATATCAAAATGTGCGTAAATATTAATATTTTTTAATAATAAAAATTATAATAATTTAGGATTTTAAAATTTATAATTTAAAAGATTATAAACAAATTGCAAAAAAATTATACTTAATATAAATGTAATATTAATATAATTTCAAATTTTTATTAATATAATTAATAATTTAAATAAAAAATGAATATTCCTGAATATTTAGAATTTTATATCATTTTTTACTGATACTTCGTTGTAAATAAAATGACAGTATAAAAATTGAAAAAAAAAATTTCAGCAATAGCTTAAAAATTTATAATGATTTAACAGTGTAATATTTTAGCTTAAAAAAATTAATATTTATATGAGCATAAACATTGCTTGATGCATCTCATATCATTCTACTATAACATCCATTCTTATAAAGTAATAATCAATAAATAATTTTATATTAATTTTGCACATCCCGGGATAATATAATCTTAGAAAACAGTGTAATATAAATACACAGTATCTAAAGGATGGCAGAAGAGAATTTTTGAATAACATCAATAATTCTCTATTGGAATGAGGCATATTTTGTATTGTTATAGGGAACATGTATATCTAGGTGCCAAAATTTTTCAAAAAGTAGTTGGACAGAGTGGTCATGTATAATATTGAATTCAAATTTAATTCAGAAGCTAGGTTAATTATCATTTTCATAAAGAGATTCTGTTTAGTCCCATTTGTATTGGTCTGTCTGTAAAGTTAAATATTTCAAGAAGTATAAATAAATAAATTTTTCACTGAAATTTTTCAATATCTATCAATGTGTTGTTCCTTGGCGTTTTCTGTGCATTTTTTTGTCAAATGAGATGTATATATATATTGTAATATATATATATTTTTTTTTATATTTATATACAAATTATATTAAGAGTTAGAAAGACTAGTAGTTTTATGCTAACTTAATTGTCAATACACTTATACAACAAGTCATTTATGCAATACTTCTGCATTACAAATAGGAAAACTGAAGAATCATTTTCATGTTTCATGTTTAAAGATTTGAAATCTATTTAAGGCGATTTTCTTTATCACCTTCGTTTTCTGGTCATTTTAAGTGAAATACACATAAAGCTCTGAGTTCCTGCACTGAGAAGATCTGGATATTTTATCAGGGAAAATTTGCTAAGCTTTGTAATATTTTGCTTGGGATGTGACCTATTTATATTACATCGATATAGATATTAATTATTACTTTGATTAGTTATAAACTTAGATTCAATATATATTATTATTGAACTGCAATGGCTTAATAATATTTCTTTACTTTCTGATAGTTAGAGGGACGATAGGTTATAACAGTACGTGATATAAATTATTATTTTTCTTATTCTCTAAAAAACAATTTAAAACGCTATTTAGGATTACGTTTTGTATAGTAATCTTATAACAGAAGTTTTATAATAAAACAAACTAACGGTTGAATCCGTTTGTGCACAGGCAGTTTAATAATTGTACTTTTAAAACTAAAACTTATTAATTAAACGCTTTTTATTAAATTAATATTTTAGGAGGTATGAACGAATTTTATGGCTTTTGATTTTTCTCGGTTCACGTACCGTAAACCCACTCATCATAACCATCTTTAGTTTTCATTGGTAATAAACAATCATAGTTATAATTTCACGCAATTCACTAACTAATTAACTTTGAGATTAAACGCATATATTATTGTTTCCTAAGTTTACAATGTCTATCTACTTGAACGGTCATTAAGATTTCATTTATAACTATAACAACAACGATGATGACAATAGTGATAATTATGATTATGATAGTATAATGAATGATGATAAATAGCGATAATTACAACTTTATCATGATTTTATTTCATTAATTCTCATTCATGTTATTATGCATTGTACACTATCTGTTTTAATGGAATGTTTATGTTGATTTTCGTTAGAGTTCAAAGAAAATTATATCTGATATTGAGTATATTTATTTTTTTCAATAGCCATTACTTTCTCTTATTGGATTTTAATAATAATTTTAATAATAAATATCTTCATTGTTATGATTTAACAATAAATTCAATTTCTTTTTGTGTTTTATCATTAATTAAGAAATATCGTTAACAAAAAATAAAAAATTATATTTTGAGATAGGTGCAAAAATGTATTTAATATTTAATGGGATGACATATGCTGAAAATGATTAATTAAATGAAGATAAATGTCATTTTATTCCAATTATTTCGAAAAGTGTTAATTTCCTTAACTATGAGCAAATTTCATTACATTTCAATCAATATATGTGTCACTTTTAAAGTGTCTAATTTTATAGCGGTGAGTCTACCAGTCTTTTTTCCTTCTCCAAGCCTAGGCATTTTAATTATTAAAATCGTCATATTGAACCCTGTGTTTGACTGTATCTCATTTTCAACAACATTTGTGTATGGCACAAATGGATATAGAGCTCACATAACTAATATGTGTAAATACTTTATTTTACTTCTTCCACACAAACATATAGCGAAGAAGAATGATTTTTTCATTCTTCTTTTGCTATTATTTAACCCTGTCGCAAAATTTTATATTACAATTCACCAATCTTTGTATTCTTTTCATTATTCAAAGATATACATAAGTATATCCATTTGTGTTAGAATAGATTTTTTACTTTGTGTATTATAGGCGTTAATACATATAATATTTGCGGCAATAAAATTATTATTAGCGATCATTGAAAAAATCGCTGCGAACATTTTTCTTCGTTTTTTATTGCAAATATTATTATAGAAATCTCGATTAATTTTACAAAATTCACTTGCCCACAATTATAGTTGGTTAGAAGAGTTCCAGTTTTGCAATGTTTCAGTTTAAACCAGAAACGTGGAAGTCAATCATCGCTGTTGCTGTTAACATTGTAAGGAAAGACTGCCAGTACGGTAGTATTCGATGATCTAATGTCAACCGCTGATAACACGGACGGTCCACTTGTTTCTACTGCATGCTAAAGTCTCCATAAGCTGGATCTTCGTGTTCCTGATCCTGATCCTGTCATGCATATATATAATGATTGCATTAGATCCAGTCGAACAATTTCAATTTCCTACTTCTATATAAAATAATTTTAAACATACGGCTTGAGAAAGCTGATATCTACACCTTTAAGTGTTATGTCATCAATTGCTAGAATTTCTATTAAAATGCTGGTAACGAATTCAAATGTTTAATTTATAAAAGTTTTAGTGAAATTTTAATTTCTCGTAAAAATATTAGTGGAGAACGCAATGGTACCGGCTTGTGTTTAATGACATCCTCCTTTATCTATGATTGTACCGACCAGCATGAGAAATGGCCACCATCTCTATGGGCAGGGAACCTCTTCGCTTGACGAGCGGTTCAGGAATCGAATCCTTTTTTCCTAGTTCTCTCTTCCATTTAAGCCATGTGCCATTATCGTTTCCATCTGTAGATCCTCCAGAAAACATTTCTGGTCCTCCAGAACTCCTTCTCTTCAATATTTTTTTCCGATTACGAGGCTTACCGTTTATGCTACTCCTATTGAACATATCACGACGTAATTCAGATATATCTGCTGGCACAGAACCTCGCCGCGGTGACGGCATGCCAGGGCCGGTGCTATCAATTATTCTTGTTATTCCGTTATTGTTGCTACTTCCAGTATTGTTATTATTATTGTTATTATTTATTGGGAGATTCTCTCGTTCATCTAAAAACGTGCAACTAATGGTAACAAACTTCGAGCAAAAACATGTTATTCACTATAGAAATATACATACTATAAGAAATATACATACTGGTTAAGGACAAAATATTGCCAAGAAGATTTCCAAGAGCAGTTTCTTGTGGAAGACTTGCTCTTCGAGGTGCTGCAACATTACCTTCTCGAGGTCCTAATGCTAATCTATTAAAACCACCATCTGAAAATATTATTATAATATGAGTTATAGCTTATGAAGATTTACTAGTGTTATTTATTATATTTTCTTACTCTGTTGTCTAGTAATGTCATTTGGTACAGAACCACGTCTGGAAGTATGATCAACTCTAGTTGTTATAGATGGTATTGTGATATCATCTAACCTAGATAAAAGACCAACTGGAGCAGATCCACGTCGTCTAGTCCATGACTAAATAATATAAAAAATATATTTTAATTGATATATTTTTATGGAATAAAATAATTTAAATAAATAATATTGTCCTCAAGTTACAATTATTTTCTTATTTATATTAATAACATTTTATATTTGTGAAGAATATTAGATTAAATATATTAAGAAATTTTACCTGACTTCCCTTTCTGGATAAACTAATTCCTTTTGTATCTTCTACCACTCGCGGATCAACATTCTCCTTCATTTGCATATCTAGACTTAATTTGGCTACTTTCGAACTCCTTTCTTTCACAGGATCTGAATCTCGTTTGTTACAGGTAGAAACAATTTCGTTATTCATATCTCCTTTTCGTAGTAAGTCGCTACCACTTTCACTTGACGTAGACACGCTTTGAACAAGGGGTGGTGAGTCTGGTGGGCTACCGATGAAGAACACTTTATGCGTGCTAAGTTCGGATGACACTGGTATCGCGGTAAATCGTCTACCACCAGCATCAGTCATTATTGTCTTAGTTTCTGGCACAGGAGTTGAGTATCTTCGTAATTCGGAGTTGGTGCACTTCGATTTTGCAATAATCGCTATCGAACCACACTGTTCAGACTTATTTAATGTTACCATAGTAGTCCGTTGTTCCTCGTTTATCGATCTTTCACTTTCCAATTTTATCTTCGAGGTGGAAATATCGCTCAATTTGGATTCCTCTTCAATGCTACTTCTCTCTTTATCGGTACGTGAATTGGTCAACGATGTGTAAAAAACTTGTGTGGAATCTGTTCCTTGAGCAGACGTCGGTCGTTTATAACGATTTTTAAAGTTGACATCTTCGATACGAATCGTTTGAACTGAGTGGCGACGTGGATATTCAATAACTGGTTCTGTTTTTTGTCTAAACGTCTCCGGAATTAAGGAGCTTCGTCTTTTATTTAAATCTATTTCTTTCGATATTATAACGTTATTAGACTCTATTTCTTTTGTAGGAGAAGTATCACAATGACCATCCGAACACGATTTTTCTTTCATCGAACATGAAGAGGATGCTGATGCGCTATCTGCTTCTAATAATATTTGAGAATAACATTGCGACATCTCTGCAGTCGTCGATAGATATCTTACTCTAATATACGGTTGCAATGGAGGGAAAGTCTGTTGTCTTGTTAATTGTTTTGTCTGCGTATTTGACTTTTGATCATCCGATTGCAATACCGTACTTAATCTCGACGCTTCAGTACTGTTAGTGATACTAGCTATGCTAGGTTCTGGCAAAAGACTTTCAGCACTAACCGGTCTTTCCCCTGCATTACTGCCGCTAGGAGAAAGTTCTATACTAGTTTTGGACGACAATAAAGATAATGAATTTGGATCTAAAAGATTTTGTTCGTCGAGTTTCCATACAAGATTTCTCGATTTACTTTGTTCGCTCGGTAAACTTTCACGTCTCACGTTACTTCGTGGCAAAAGTGTCATAGGTTTCGTGATACTTAATGGCACAGAATGCCGTCTTCCAACGCGTTCCAGACCAACTCGTGCTGGCAAACTTTGCATCTTAGAGGAATGAACATATGCAGCTGGTATCAATAAATCAATACTTTCTGTATCCTCCTCGGCAGCTGGATCTTCTGCAGCACTGATGGCATCTTCCAATTCTGTCTCTTCCAATTCCGAGATTTCCGTTTCTATATCCTTTGCTGTTTCTTGGAGAATTAACGCTTCCCATTTCTTTTGATTGGCTCGCAGATGTTCCATTAATGAAACACTAAGACCATCGCCTAGGAAACGGTGCCATTCCTCGTATAAAGGCGTCACGACAAATTTAAAGAATCCAGCCTGTATCTTTGGTATGCTAGTGGTATGTCGATCACATAATGGTGTCACTGGAAGGTTCAAACGTCGTTCGTAATCGCCTTGTCGAAAGAATTCTTCACATACTTTGTGCGACCATTTCTGTGAAATGTCCCAAGGTCTGCAAGGGTTCGATATATCAGCGCATTTCAGGGCTATTTGTAGAATGAAATGCCGGTCGTCCGCACGTTTCATCTCCAGCAGATTCTCGTCCAAATAGTGCTGCAAAAAGAAAATGATGAAATAAGAAAAAAAAGATTAATGATAACAAATTTTAATTATCCTTATAATATTATATAATTTACATTTATAAATTTATAAATATTAAGGAAAATGATTTAAGATTTGATATCTTTTCAGAAACAGAAAATATTTTAAAAATATTTTTTATTACTTTTATGCAATTTCTTATTAAAATAATAATATCATTACCATTAATTCATTATTCTACATTCTCAAGAGTATAACATATGTACATATATTTTATAAAATATACTACATCGTCTATAAATCATTCAATATAAATTATTTAAA